TGATCCCTCCTCCAGAGCCATGAGTCCCACTTAGCATACATACCTTTGACATGAGGATTAAACACACCGGGAGTAGCTACACCCATAAGCTTCTGATGCTGGGTGTGATCTAATTCACAGGTTACAACACAATTAAATCCACATGAGGCAGCAGGTTGATACAACTGTAAAACCAATGGATTGCATGTTAAAGACTCCACTTTTTCCACAAATGAAGGACTGCATACAGAATTATATTAGAAACAGAGGCATGTATAAACAAGCAACATGACCTTTGAAATTTATAAATAGAATCAGAACATCTTTTAATTTTATTGACTTATTTGCTTCATAAATAGATAATACATTTTTATGGCTTGTTCCGATGCTTATCTATCACACTGCATGTTTGAGTCCTGATTAACTTCCTGGGGTTACAGTACAACCAGAAGCAGAATTTCTAAAGTACTTTGGCAAAGCTTTGTTTTATAGTAATTTTGACATAATCAAACCCAGCAATTTCTAGAAATGTTTTCAAAAAATATATTCACATTGCTTGATTGCAGCATTTTTGGTTAAAATATCTGAATTCCCAGACCACACCTAGAATAAAAAGCACTGGGTTAAACTAAAGAGAAGGAAGTTTTACAGGGAGATGTTAAGGCAGTCTTCCTAGCAGTCAATTAAGCACTTGAATACCTAATCTAAGATTACCACAGATGGTTATAAAACAGTCTGGACAAACACATTATGAATTGACCCAAATGTATGAAAAACAGGATGTTTGTCTGGCTTGATCTCAAAGGCTCCCTCCACCCTGCACCTATTTTATTCAAATACTATAGCATGACAAGCAATAATATTTTTAGATAATTAGTTCTGAATTGCACTTCAGTACATCATCAGTATTGCTCATCCCAAAAATCCTACTGCTTTTTGAAAATCATTCTCTTAAAAAAAACCAGACTGAGATATTGGAAGTGGACCTGGGTAAAAATGCAAGAGTTTATACAGCGACTTACCAGATTGCAGGTCCTAAGAAAAGCAGTTCCTTTCCCACTCCATAAATGTTCATTCTAAATATTTAGTGAAGAAGCTGAATGCTTATTTTTATAAACATGTGACTACAAAACATATGGACTCTCACTGAAATAACAGTAATAGAAATTAAACTCCTTTTCACTATGTGCTAGTACAGTGTGCCATGCCCTGCTTTTCAGGAATATTGTTTTTTTTCCTGAGGAGTATAAGCTAAAATATCAATTTATAATGAAAATCTGATTATCTTAATTGCAATAAAGCAAATTATACACTTAATAGGATGTGCATGCTCTTTCCAAGCAGCTTATTGTATTGCTGTATCAGTCAAGTAAGCAATATGCCATCTGCAGATGTTTATGTATGAAATCCTGCAGAGGGAAAACATTTGAACTACAGAACAGATTAAATAATTGAAAATGAAATTGCATGATAAGGTGTTTGATGGGGTGGAGGGAAGCAGCAGAGTGGAGGAAAATCCATCCCCATGACTACTGGTCCTTCCTCCTCCCTGCTCACTGCTGTTTGCCTCTTCTTGGATTCCAGAGCTTGTTTTATTCCTCAGCAGCCTTTCTACAGCCTGGCAGATTCAGTATTGTTGGAAATTGGGGACTGTGGTTTGCTTCAGACAGAGAAGAAAGGAGAGTTTAAGTATCGCTTTAGGAGACATGGCTTTGCTCTGGATTCTTTTATACAGAAAGAAGACGTGTTTGCTGGCTCTGAGAGAAAAGGAAAATTGTTAAAGGCAGTGTGGATATGACTTGAATTTTTCATCAGGTAAGAAGTCTGAAAATTTGTAGAACTGTGACAAAACTTATTGAAATATATTTTAAAGTATTATTCTCTACAACCTATATTTAAAAGTGAATGTAAATTTTCCTCCACATTTTATCTGTGCAATACTTAGGAACTTAATAAACAGTGTTTATAATTGAAACATTTACTGGTCACCTTGATAGGATGAGACTATTCATCTTTAGCAGAGGTAAGAAAATACTTAGTAAAGAAAGCCTTTCTAAAACTAATTTTATTTTAGACTTTTCTTTTGCTTATGAATGTTTCAGTAATGTTTCTGCAGATAGAGGAATTAAACAAGACTAAGGGGTTTGTAATAACTTACAGTGTTGAACTCTTACTATAGTAGAGAATCTTTTTCCAAAATGCATGGATTAGGGGTTGAAGTAATTAGTTCTTTTTGTTAAACGCTTCAGTTCTGGTATCAGCTGCAGTTGTGATCCAAGGATGCTGATTACAGTAACATTTATTTATTAGATTAAAAAGTGCTAGTGTGTATTACAATATAATTCAACACACTGCAGTAAATACTAGAGTAACTTATTTTTTTAATGCTGTGAATACTCCAGATGTTGACCAAGACAGGTAAAAATAGTTTTACAGCCAAGGAAGTGTTTAAATTGCCTCACAGAATGGTTTGTACTAAAGACTGCACTCTAACTCCCAGCACAAACTAAAGACTGAAAATAAATGACACATTCTCATGAGAATAGCACAGTGTAGATGGAGACTGTGCCTAAAACTGATGTAGCAAGTGAACTGATTAGGTAAGTACAGGGACTTTTCCCAAATAGAAAATGCCAGAGAAGCCCTACCATCCTGAATTCTTGGGAGAGGACATTCAGAATTTGCTATCAAACTGTGTTGTGCATCCATGGAGAAATAAGCAAGCTTAGCAAATAGTGCATAAAATATTACAAACTTGGCTCAGCCTCATGGCCTTTTGAGTCTCCACAGCTTCTCCCGCTCACATATAAAGCAGGGAAGAGCAGAATTTGTCTTTGTGCCAGCCAGGTGGACACCACAGGCACTGCAGAGAAAAATCATCCTTGGGGCAGAGCAGCCAGACTTTAGATCCTCACACTTCTGAAGTGGCAGTGAATCTCATTGGGGAAACAGCTGCCACTTTTGGTGGTAAATCTACCATTTAGGGCCTCTCTCCTTCCAGCACATGCATCCTTGGGTGTGACAAATCCAGCCAGGCAATCAGTGCTGCTCCAGGGAAAGGTGAGCGGCAGTGCTTTCCAGGAAACAGATGGCCTGAAGGGGCTGTTACCCAGCCACATCATCGGGTTCTGCAGGACCTGACTGTCAGAGTCACAGTCCCAGGCCGCTCTCCTGGACTCAGGAGCAGAAGAGTTTGTGGCAGCTGGTGGGCACACAGCGGAGAACCCAGCTCTTGGTCTTGCCCTACTGAAGTAGGGATACCTGCAAGGAACTGCAACATCTATCAGAGCCACCAGACTTCCATAGTTTTTGCAGCAGGATTGTAGAATTTTCCATATTATTCCTCAACATAGCTTTAACCAAGCCCAGTACATTCTTTAGGGAGACTACAGGGCTTAATGCTAGCTCTGACCACAATTTAAGTAATTTTTGGGACATCAGGGCCATATAGAGTCGCCTATATATACAGCCACTTCCCACTCCAACATGTGTATGCTGATTGAAAAGGGTATTTTAATCAGAATGACAGTGGTAATATTTGCTCCAAAGGTGAGAATAGTGGTTTTTGGAGATTTTTTTAGAATCCTAATCTGAAGCACTCAAACTTATGTCAAACAGAAGCATCAGGAAAAAGCAGTCCAGGATATAACTCTGGCTGGAACTCTTTGAGTGTCTGTAGGAAAACAACTACAGAATCATAATTCCCCTGGATAACCCTGGATTTAGTGTTTAATTTTGTACAGACCACCAAACTTTTTTTTAATCCTTAGTGATTAAATAATGGCAATCATTTCTGTGGAAGGGCTGACAAATCTTCTACACATAAGCAGATTATTTCTAGTAAAACTAAAACATCCACCTATTCCTTCTTTTTGTGTATCCTCTGACTTCCCACTGCTTCTTCATTCTCCTTTCTCCACAGGCTCTCAGCACCATTACTAGGGGTGAAGAATGATCTCCTTCCAGCTAGTTTTCACAGGAGAATAATTTCACAGGGGAATTAAGGTGAGTTAAAGCGAGTTTTGAAAGACATACGTGAAGAACATATATCAATTCCCCATTTTTAAATTTTAAAATAACTCTTTTCATACTTAGCTTTCCCTTTCCCAGGTTGGAAACAACCTGGCTGGAAAGCTGGTGAGCCTTTAAATTAAAAGTAACTTTTGCACTCAGTGATAAATTCAAACCCATCAAGATATTCTGTTGAACCTAACTCTTCCCATTAGTTTTGAAACCACAGAACTGTGCAAATACCAGACGTTTTTTGCTTGACTCCTGTTTAAGTTAGAACTGAAAGAGGAATAATTGTCTGCATAACTACAATGTGAACTTTATTTTTTTTACATTTTCCTCAGGATAGATTTAGGAAAAAGGACATACTATCTTCAGTGCATCAGTAGAACAGGAAACTCCCTTTAAGATATCATTCATAGAGTTTTTGAATGCAATTTGAGTTCAAGCACACATAATTTTGATTAATTCAGGAGGATTAAATGTATTAACTCGCATTGCTTTGTAGTTCTAAAGAAAATCTAAGTGTGATGTCTAAGGTAGCAGAGTGATGTCAGGACCCAATTCTTCTTTTCTGGTAATACAAAAGCAATAGATTATCCTCACTGGAATCCATTAAACCTTCTTAAATCTTCACCAGAGACAGATCTTAGAATACTTTATTCTGAAAAGCAAACTTTATACACAGCTGGTAAAAGAGGATGAAAGTGTCTGTACAAGTTTAGTCAGCTGCTATCACAGCTATTTCTTGTACATCAGTTATAGATCTGTAGCACTGTCAGTGCAGAACCCCAGAAAGGTGACATCAACCTCCTTCCACAGAGATATATAAACCCACTAATATCCATATGCTTTTCCAGTACTGTAATTAATCATGTTAGATTTGCTCAAAACTGTAAGGACACTGACTGCAATGGTAGACCCACAGTACTCACTGCCTTGAAAATCTCCATGGAAAGTATTTTCTAAATAATACAAGGTTTTGTCCGTAGGTTGGAAGATACTTCAGGATGGATAAAGCTGTTCAGCATCCCAGTGAGATCCTGAATCAAACTATCTCTAACATTAGCCTTTCTCAGTTCTTGAACTTTGATACATGCCAACTTTCCTCCCTTACAGAATTCTTGCTTATCACAGCTTACACGTTGGTTACACTAGTGGGGCTTGTTGGAAATCTTTGCTTAATTATTATAATAAAGAGACGGAAAGAAGCTCAAAATGTCACCAACATTTTGATTGCCAACCTCTCTTTATCAGATGTCTTGATCTGTATCATGTGCATTCCTGTCACAGTTGCATATACCTTAATGGACCACTGGATATTTGGGGAAGCAATGTGTAAAATAGGCTCTTTCATACAAAGTCTCTCTGTCACAGTCTCCATTTTCTCACTTGTACTCATTGCTATTGAGAGATATCAGTTAATTGTGAACCCACGTGGCTGGAAGCCCAGTATTTCACATGCTTATTGGGGAATTCTTTTTATCTGGGGGCTTTCCCTCATCATATCCACTCCTTTTTTAGTATTCCACCAAATAACAGATGAACCCTTCAAACATCTGTCGTTCCACAGTGATTTCTACAAGAACAAGGTTGCTTGCATCGAAGCATGGCCGTCTCTTACAGAGAGACTGATTTTCACCACCAGCCTGCTGGTTTTCCAGTACTGCTTCCCATTGGGGTTTATTTTTATCTGCTATCTCAGGATATTTGTATGTCTTCGAAGGAGACGAGGTAAAATAGACAGGATGAGAGAGAATGAGAACAGGCTGAGTGAAAACAAAAGGATCAATATGATGCTGGTATCAATTGTTGTGACCTTTGCAGCCTGCTGGTTGCCTCTCAATATATTCAATGTGGTTTTTGACTGGAACTACGAGGCACTAATGAGCTGTAATCATAACCTGACATTTACAATCTGCCACCTTGTGGCCATGATCTCAACATGTATCAATCCCATCTTTTATGGATTTCTGAACAGGAACTTTCAGAAGGATTTGGTAGTATTAGCTCACCACTGCAGATGCTCAGCATCACAAGATGAATATGAGAACATCGCCCTTTCAAACCTGCAAACAGATGCATCTAAGGGATCTCTGAAGTTAAACACTCCCCATGTGGATATATAAAATAATTTAACTGTAATTTCCAAAATTCTGTATTTTGTTGAAGATGGCCTTTTTCTGCAGGTCTTGGTCATGTTACCACCAAGTTTAGAGGAAGTCTTTGCCATTTAGTTTAGCAAAACCAGGATTATGCTCCTATAGGCATACTCTTAACAGGCACTTTATGATAGTATTAATGCTGATAAACCACTTCCAACAGTCCTAAAGATCAATAATAATAAATTATAAACAGTATTAATGTCTTTCTTTTTTTAATCCACAGTTTCCAAGTCACTGCATGCTACCTTAACTCCAATAAAAACGTTTCCATTTCAGCCACTGTTGGGGACATCTTTCCTAAATACCTGGCTTCCCCCAGCTAAACACTGGACACTGTGGTATTCCTAACTTCAGCAGCCTTTCACACACTGTTTTCTGGCATTTTTATTTTCCAACACTGCATCAATACCCTCACTGGTTAACCTGTACTTTAGAGGCAGCTCACACTGTAAGGAAGGCCCTTGAAGTTATCTTTAGACTCCACCACCTTCCTTTCAGCCCCCTCATGCAGTTTGCTTTGGCTCAGTACCTGTTCAGCCCAGAAATTGTATTTTAACAAGGGAAAAGGCTAGAGTTGGACTTTTATTTTTTTAATGAACTCTAAAACAGAACCCATTTGATGTACTACAAGTTTCACTCAGAATGATGTTGTTCAAGATAAAATATATATTCCGCATTTCTCCTAATACCATTGCATTCTCTAAAACACCAGTAAAGTTTATTGCTTTCTCTCTTACCATCATCACTGCTCCTTACAACAGACCTTTTGAATCTCCATTATCAAAAAACCCCACTATGAATTCAGAGTAAATTTTATTTTAGCTACTTACTCAGATTTCTCTTTGAGTAGAAAATTAGGTTTACATTTTAACTTCAGCAATATTTTTCCCCACATTTCTGCACTAGCAAGAGGCCACACTTGAGCAGATGTGGTCATTTCTGTTAACAGAAACACAGTTTCTGCGTTTGAAAATAATTTCTTTTATAACAGTGCAAAGAAGCCTAAAGGGATAACACTGAACACAACTTTTCTTAAACTAAAACATTTTAAAAACCACTTTCCAGTGTGGCCATAAAAAAATAGCCAAACTTTTTCTTCATCTATGACATAGTGACAATACAAAGAATCAGTTAATATTGAGCTGTTTAAATACAGTACTTAGAACACTTTAGTCCAAAAACTCACCTTGCTTCCTCTTATTCAAATTAAATATAATTAATTGCTTGTACTGCTAAAGCCCCTTCTTTTCTTCTGAGTTTCAAAACTCCCTGTTCAAACACTTGTACATAAGGTTCCTTGTAAACTATTCTCTAACTAGTAAATTATTAATGCACCACTTAAGCAAAAAGAATCCACATTCAAATTACAATGAGCTCCTTGATGACTCAGCTGTGATGAAACTCACCTTAAGGCTATAAAGTTCCCTTGGAGAGTGAACATCTCTTTCCATAGCCATCCAGCTCCTAAAGGGTTCAGGAAAAGTTCTCTTGTTACAGCATAGTTCAGACTGTCTGTACAGAGGAGCTCTGTCAGAAGAGCCTCAGCAGCTCGTGCAGATACTCAGGTTTGTTAAGTGCCACCTGATTCACACTGAGATAAAAGACCTCGGTGAAATCTTAGTGTCCTAACCCATAGAAGTCATAAGGGCAGCTCCATGGCAAGAGCAGGAATGGCAGAATTAGTGACATGGTAATCAAGCATCTGAGTGATAGGTATGGATTAGCTTTGGCATAATTTAGGGGGTTTTTTCCTAATTAAATCAAATATCATGCATTTGGAATTGATTACACAAACATTAACTTAAACACCTGCCTTGTGCATCATAGAAAAGAAGCCAGGAGACAGATTAATACCTAATAGAGGCCAATGATCAGACTGTTGAGAGTATTAACTATTTCTGTGAACTTCAACCCAGGTCACTGGGCTGCCTTTATTAGATGCACATCATCTGTGTGTTCAGCACAACAGGCATTTAATCAAGTTAAAAGCAGTAACTTGCAGTCAATGACACTGGGACCCTGCATGGTCAGAGGTGCTGGTTGTGTTTTGGTGAAGGGATGGAGCTGCTTCTCTCAGTACTGAGACTCCTGGGTAACAAAGTAATTCACTGTCTTCATTGCACCTGGCTTGACTGAGAGCAAATCTGATCCAGGAACTTCACTTTTCTTGGGGGTCCCAGTACCTGTATTGAAAACCATCTATTCCTGTCAGAAGGTCATTCCCTGAACAGCATTTTAACAAATGTTGGACCTGCTAGAGACTGAGCTATCTACTGTATTTCCCTGGGTTTGGAACACAAATCTCTATCACCATCTTCTTCAAATTTAAGTACACTGTTTACAGCTTCAGGGCCCATGCTTAAAGCATTTTATAAGCACAAGACATTCAGAATTTCACCTCTAACTCATCACTTCTAATTTATTAATACTTGCACAGCTGTTCAGATTACTCTCATTGGCAAATGTCTCAGACAATATTTAATGTTTGAATCAGGCCCAGCTGAGATTCCCATGTGTGAACTTGGCCTAAGTGGCTCCCATCCCATCCCACAGACAAGCCCAAGTGTGCATACTTTTACAGTAGAGGTGGTTTTAGCATCACATCTCTAGTGGTTTTAAAACAGCCATGAAATTAATTCTGGTTCAGATTGTGTGATGCTGATGGATGGTCTCTCTACTTTCTCTCCATAGAAGTGCTTGGGCTGTGTGCAACAGACAGGAAAAAAAAATTGCTATCACTTTTTTTAATAGCAATTGTCTACTCCTGACAATCCTGATCAGAGTTAAGCACTCAATTTTTCCTTCCAGTCTGAAAATCTTGGTATAAGAGGGTTCTTCATTAGCAGGTGGGAGCTCTCTGAGCAATGACACTGCTTCAGAATCAAAAATGAACAATAATACTTGTGCCTTGATTTCTCCTTCTTATTTCTTTCTCACACTTTCATTTGACTCAAGTGTTGATGGATGCTCCATTTCTGTTCTGAGCATTCAGTCATCAAGTATCTCTCCTTAAAGCTGCACTTGTAACAATTGTTAACGGAACAGAGGATCCTCACTGTCTCGGAGACGTCGCCCTCAGCCCTGTACATTCTCTCACGACATCCACTGGCTTCCTGTGCATCCTGATACTGAACTTCCAAGCAAGTCAGTAGGAGACAATTGACTGTGACAGGAATAGGAACAAAGAGTAATTACTTGTTTTTATAGCATAAGTATTATGGACTCCAACACGGTGTGTGACAGTGGTAAATGTAACTGTAATACCTAATACTTAAAGATTGCTCAAGTTAAACTGGCAAATGCTGATGACTTTATTTTCCCTTGTTTTATTGGTACAGCCAAGTAGAAAAAATACTAACAGCCTTTCTCAGCAGAAAGTTGTTACCTAATACAACCAGCTGGAGAATTTCCTTGGGGGAGCAGCACCATGGAATTAACTCCAGAAAACTAGAGGGGGAGTCTGAACTTCCGATGTTATTCCAGTGTAGAAAGTCTTAGTTTTCAAAAACTAAAAACTGCATCACAGCTTTCTTTGAGTGGTTTGGTGACCAATATATTTATAAACATCCTTGTAAATTAACTGTGTCCTTACATGTCGGTGTATTTTATGGTTGATCGGTTTCATTTTAAGCATTTATTACTAGGGTTAGATTCTTGCGAACTGCCATCCACTGTGGAAATGATTCCATCGAGCAAAGAGCTCAATTGATTATTGACTGTAATCCTGTCTGTGGACAAAGGCAGTGCCAGTGCTGTGTGTGATTTAAAGACTTTGATTTCTCCCATTGACTGACAAATAAATATTACCCTGTGTAAAACCATCACCCTGCCCAGCTGGTGAATTGTACTGTCTGGAACTGGGATAGGACACTTCTCATTCAAACAGGGCACCAGAACACCAAGAATCACCAAAAGATCCAAAGAAAGATCCAAAGGTCCAAGAGAGATACAGAGCCTGCTGCAGATTGAAGGGATGGCCATGGAGCAAACAGAGCACGGCTCAAGGGCACAAAGGTACTCAGGAAGGGACCTGACCAGGCTTCAGATGTGTGAGGGAGCTGCTGACCCAGTGGAGCAAAATGAGAAGGAGGAGAGGACACAAAGACTGCTCTGAGGAGAAGGGGTGACCTCCAGAGACGTCCTGACATACCCAGAAGGGTACAAAGTACATTCCGGAGAGAGCAGTGTGCTAAGGTGACCCTTTAAAGCATCAGGATGAGAGGAAAAAAAAAAAGGAAACAAAGAAAAATGTAAAAGCAACAGGGAATGTGACAAACAGGAAAAAACTAAAAAATAGGAATAGCCAACTCAATAAAAGGAGACAGAAAGAAAAAATTTAAAAGTTAAGGGGTACAAGGCAGAGGAAGAAAAAAAATTAAAACTGAGACAGAAAAATAGATAAAAGTAGACAAAGAAAAGCAATTTAAAAATGAGAGGAGAGTGAATATGCAGCAAAGCTTTGAGAAACCTCACAATGAAGGGTCAGACAGGCTGCAGAATTGAAAGGAACCTCATAGACTCTATAAACAACATTGTCCTTTCAATTCTATGCTAATAAGACACTTAGAAATATTCTACAATGGCAACTGTAGAATTATCTTGTCTGCTATCACTCATTTTTAAACAAGGTTCTTTTGGTTTCCATGCAAATGCACTGACTGATGCCTTTTATTTAATTCCCTTTCATTTCACTTCATTTCATTTCTTTAATTTCATTTCACAGATTTCTCCATTAGTCACAGGCTATTTACATAATGTCATGGAATTGGCACGTGTGGAGCTATTCTCTGCAGAATTCACTTCACCCTCATACCTGGTGAGGAAAACCTGTTAATTTGTGTGGATGTCGGGGTTGTAACAGCTCCATGAATTAGTTCTTCCAGTCAGGAATGGCTATTACAGTCACAAGAAGCTCTGAAAGTTTGGGTTCCCTCTAAAGAGAATTTTTTACCCCCTTTCCTGTT